TTTTTTTTGAGACAGAGTCTTGCTCTGTTTCCCAGGCTGGAGTGCAGTGGCACAATCTCAGCTCACTGCAACCTCCGCCTCCCAGGATCAAGTAATTCTCCTGCCTCAGCCTTCTGAGTAGCTGGGATTACAGGTGCCCGCCACCACACCCAGCTAATGAGAGAAATTTCTACCTTACCCAAAGGGTAAAAACATGTAGAACTGCCTTTTAAAGACATTCTATGGCTAAAAATGGACTACATTTAAGAAGGGCTTTAACTTCAGCAATCACTTCAGAGATAACAGTTCCAAGACTGGGTGTAAGGGTAAACTTAGGGAAGTTTAAGGTCAACCTGGTTAACTTTCTTTTTTCTTTTTTGAGATGGGGTCTTGCTCTGTTGCCCAGGCTGGAATGCAATGGCATGATCATGGCTCACTGCAGCCTTGACCTCCCAGGCTAAAGCGATCCTCGCTCTGCAGCCTCCCGAGTAGCTGGGATCACAAGTGTGTACCACCAAGCCTGGCCAATTTTTTATTTTGTTTGTAGAGATGGGGTCTTGCTATGTTGCTCAGGCTGATCTCAAACTCTGGGGCTCAAGTGATCCTTTCATTTTGGCCTCCCAGAGTGCTGGGATTACAGACGTAAGCCACCACGCCCAGCCTGGTTAACTTTCTGAGGTGAGTTCAACAGCCCTTTTCTCTTGGAAAACCCTTGGCAATTATTTCTGACAGACCAATGAACTCATGAGACCTGGCATGTATATCCAATAGTCCTTTATAGGACCAAGTGAAGATTAGTATGTTAAAAATGATACTGAAGCCCCATTTTATTTTATGCTATTGGGTCTAGGAGTAGATTATGTAATGACGAATCAGTGAAGTCCTTTAGGGAAACAGGTGCTCGGAATTCAGAAAGTCTCCTCAGAACAATATTTGTAATTTCACCTTATCTCCTTGTACACATGTCATTTCTCTTCATGTATCCACATTTACATGTTTCTACTTGGAATTATGAGATTGGGACACGGTACGTCAGCAATTTTTTTTTTTTTTTTTT